ACAGCAAAATTCTGCCTCTACAAAAAAATAAAAAATTAGCCAAGCATAGTGACACATGCCTATATTCCCAGCTACTTGGGAGGCTAAGGCAGGAGGAACACTTGAACCCAGGAGTTTGAGGTTACAGTGAGCTATCATCATGCCACTGCACTCCAGCCCAGGCAACAGAATGAGACCTTGTCTCAAAAATAAATAAGACAAAAACAAAACAAAACAAAGCACACGGCCAGACCCTCAAGAAACTTAAATAATAATAAACAATACAAGACACTGTATAAATTGCTAAATTACGAGAAATCATCAGGAAATGTCATAGGAATTCAGAGAAAATGTTTTATAAACAAATCAAGAATTCAAAAATTGAGATATGGAGATATTGAAGTCTGTCTGGGTATGATGGTTCATATCTTTAATCCCAGCACTTTGGGCAGCCAGGTGGAAAAATTGCTTGAGCACAGGAGTTTAAGACTAGCCTGGGCAAATAGTGAGACCCTGTCTCTCCAAAAAAAAAAAAAAAAAAAAAAAATTAAACTTAGCCAGGTGTGGTGGCATGTGCCTGTAGTCTCAGCTACCTGGGAGGCTGAAGTGGGAGGATTGCTTGAGCTCAGGAGTTTGAGGCTGCAGTGAGCCATGATCACTCCATTGCACTCCAGCCTGGAAGCAGGGTGAGACCTAGTCTAAAATAAAATAAAGTGCCTATTTGATTCACTAAAGCAATTGTTTAAAACTTGGGTTGTTTCTCCCTTCCTTTTTAAAATACAGACTCAATAGTGGACTTTTGATTCACTCAGTATAAAACCCAGAAAACATCTGATATTTTGTTTTGTTTTCTTTTTTTTTTTTTTCTTTTCTTTTTTTGAGGCAGAGTTTCACTCTTGTTGACCAGGTTGGAGTGCAATAGTGAGATCTTGGTTCACTGCAACCTCTGCCTGACAAGTTCAAGTGATTCTCCTGCCTCAGCCTCCCAAGTAGTTGGGATTACAGGCATGCACCACCACACCCAGCTAATTTTTACGTTTTTAGTAGAGATAGGGTTTCTCCATGTTGTAGACATGGGGCATTATTTTTAGTTTTTCTATTTTGTTCCATTGATCTATATGTCATATCATATTAGCTGGATAGAAGGACAGAATGAAGTAGGTGGAGGCAATTAATATAAGGCTGCAAATATTAAGGTGTAACATAAATAAGAATATAGAGAATAAGTAACTATACCTCAATATAGGTAGTACGCTCTTCCAGGAAAGACAGAGATGTTCTGTATTTCCTTCAAAAGGCACCTGTCCACATCCTCCCTGGAACTTTGCTAGACTGATAATTCTTTCTCCTCCTCTTTAACCATTTGCTTTTCACTACTCCTCTGCACACCAACATACTCATGTGGCAACCATTCAAAAAATAAAACAAAATGCCCATCATCAGTACAACTGTTCCCTCTATTAAAGTCATTTTTTAGTTTTCTTCACTTCTTTGTTTCACCAATGGCAGCTCAACTCACGGCTACCATAGCCTCTAAGACCAAATTCTGACCTTGTCATCAACTTCTAACCTTAGAAAAGATGAACACAGCTAATTCTGCCCCTTCTTTTGAAACATTTCCTGTTAGTCCACCTCTGACAGCTTTCAGTGTCTTTACTGAACACTCCCTTAAATGTTAGGCTTTGCCAAGTTTTCTGTTTTCTTCCCGTTGTAAAACTATGGATGAGAAATCATATCCATCCCCATACATGCCATTGAGAGGCTAGACATTTTGGAAAATATTATTTCTAGCCCCAACTTATCTTTAGAGCACCAGCCTTCCATTTTTAGTTGCTGTTGCTAATAATAAGTAATGTATATATTGGTTACTATGGGCCAGGCACTCTTCTAAGCACTTTAAGTATATTAACTAATTCATGAACATTTCTACTTGGTCATTTTTTGATCAACTCAAATTTCATATGACTTAAAGTGAACTTGTTATTCCACATTTCCTTTACTTCCTGGCTACTTTCCAAAACTGCCCCTTTTTCCTCCTCTTCATCTTAGCTTATAACAAACCCAGAATCAGCAGTTACCTGATAACCTTAAAGTTATTTCTCCTTATAATTAATCCCTTTATATTTAATAATCATAAATAAGCTCTGAAAGAAAGCAATTATGTTCTAGGCAATGGGTTATCTCATTTAATCTTCACAACTAACCTATGAGGTAAGTACTATCATTATCTCCCAATTAATAGATGAAAAATGGGAGACTCACAGAGCTTAAGTAACTTGCCCAAGGTCACATGGCTTGATAAATGAGAAAAGCTAGATTCAAAGCTAAAGTCTGTATGACTTTACAGTCTGCACTGCCACAAAGCCCCGTTGATTTTATCTCTGAAATGTTTGTCTCCTGATCCCTTATTTCCATCCTTATTGCTAGTGGCATAGGTTAAGGCTCCTAACCGTCTGTCATAAGAAATACTGCAAACCTCTTACATTTATTTCTTTCCAGGACCTTCCTTTCCAATTCACCTTATCTTATCTTCATAAAACACAGTGTTGGTTTTTTTTTGTTTGTTTGTTTTGAGACTCTGGGTGACTGTTACCCAAGCTTGAGTGCAGTCATGTGATAATGGCTCACTGTAGCCTCAACCACCTGGACTCAAGAGATTCCCCCAAGTGGTTGGGACTACAGGTGCATGCCACTGCACTGGCTAATGTTTTTAATTTTTGTAGAGAAACAGTCTCCCTATGTTGCCCAGGCTAGTCTCGAACTCCTGGGTTCAAGGGATCCTCCTGCCCCAGCCTCCCAAAGTGCTGGGTATGTGGGCATGAGCCACCATACCCTGCCAAAGCAAACCTTTGATGATCCCTTGTTGCCTGTAAAATAAAGAGTGAAATCTTTATAATGGCTTTACAAAATTCCTGGCTATGACTGGCTTCCTCTGTACATTAATCTTGCTGCCCTACAGGATATTTCAGCTGTAGCATACACAACCCACCAGCAACTTCCTCAAGTCTCTCAATTAAAAACTCTTGAAAGACAACGCATCATTTTGAGCCAAGTCCTGGAAGTCATTGGTTTTCTTAGTCAGTTAGATAGGCCCAACTTGTTAGGTAGTTAACTCTATCAGCTGTGACCAATACGAGCTATGTCTATTGGACAGCATGAGTTTGCAGAGATTTTTCTGAGGGAGGAGGGTAGAGGATAGGCAGAACAGACCTACATTATTACAGAAAGATAGAACTAGGATTCCAACCCAGGTCTTCTGACCTCCAGTCAAATATTTCTCCCACCTGAAGAAGCAACCTATTAAAATTATAAAAGTTAACATAAAGCTCTTCTCACTTTTTCCGCTGAAAAGCCATTAGCAGGTTACACATATATTACAATCTGAATTAATAAATTACATATACATGCAAATATTGACTGATTTCTTTAGTACAAATAAATTGGTATTCTTGATAGGTCTTCAACATTTGTCACAAAGATAGCAAACTGTTCCTATGATGGTATCATTGAAGGATTTTGTGAAAACATTGATTTTTAATCTTACTTGGTTTACAGAAGTGGTATAACAGACCAATCCACAGTTTAAGCACACACAGGAAGACATGGCTTTTTTTTTTTTTTTTTTTTTTTTCCCCTAAATAGGCATTATTAACCTTAAGTTGTGGGCAAAAGAAAGCCTTTGAAGTTTCCTAAGCAGGAAAGCAACAAGAGCAAAATGAAACTTCTGAAATAAAACCATTTGCTGCTGTGGGCATACAGAGGTGGGGAAATGAATTTTAATAAGCCTTTATAATTATTAAGACCGTTTAAGAATAAATTAATTCAAAATTAAGGAATACTATAGGACTATGAGACAAGTGAGATTTTTTTTTTTTTTTTTAAGAGACAGGGTCTTGCTGTGTTTCCCAGGCTGGAGTGCAGTAGCTATTCACGGCTGTGATTATGGCCTTGAATTCCCAGACTTAAGTGATCCTCCTCTCAGTCTCCCAAATAGCTGGGACACTGGCTACTTTTACTTATGTAAATATGTCTGTATTCAACCTGGGGTCAATACAACCAACAGAACAAATCGTGTCTTTTCATCAGTTTGAACATATTGCAGGTGTTGAGAAATTCCAAGTACTACAAACTAAAATTATATTATTTAGTGTAGATGGTAAATTTTCTATCATAATCATCTGACCCCAAATATTCACATGTATAGCTACAGCACATGATCGGGCGTATATCCAGAATTATGCATTTCAGGAAATACATAAGCATGCAAGTTTGTGCAAGAACCGTCTTCCTGAGTGGGATCCAATTAAAATACAAACGAAACTAAATATCCTCAATTTTGAAACAAATTACTTATAATGTATCTCAAATGGATTTCTTGAGCCACCCTCTTCGATAAAAAATAAAATTCGAAAATGTATACAAGAGCTTTGGGGTGTTAAGATGAACACAAAGATACTTCATGGGAGTTTTGAGACAAGAAGGAATACATTCAAATACAAAATAAACTATCCCGACTTTCTCCTGAGTTGACTGTCATTATTGTAAAACGTATTGCACATTTTCATAATCTAACTCATGGCAGCCCCAACGTAAACAACTAGTCCTCTGCGAGAATTGCAACTGGTTTAGCCGCAGCGGTTTGACGCGGATGCGCGGGCAAGGCGAGAGCAAGCGACCTGCCCGGGACAGGCAGCACATCTCCAGAGAAACGGGTTTTGCAGCACGAGGTAGCCTGTATCCGATTCATCTCTTTTCTGCCTTGCTCCTTCAAATGGAAACGTTAACAAAGGCCACAGGCAGCCGAGGGCCGCAGCCGGAGACCTAGCCCTTGTCACCGAGCTCCGGAGTGGCCGCACGCGGGGCGGCCGGGTCCCCCAAGCTGCGCGTCCCGAGCTAGCGAGACCCCACCCCAGCAGGCGACGCCGGCGGCTCACGGTCGCGCCGAGCAGCGGCTCAGCACCGGCGGAAGAGGCCCAACCTGCTCCTCGCGTGCTCTGGCCGCGCCGAGCCCCCACACTCACCATCTCGATGATCTTGGTCTTCCGCCCAGTCTTCCTCTTCAAGGTGAATATGTACTGAGCCAGCACCACCCCCGCCACCAGGGCGCACACGCTGGCGCTCGCTACCGCGCCCACTCTCGCTACGGCCGCGCGGTCCATGGACTGGGCCCTCATGCGCGTCCTGGCAGGAAAAAAACAGGCGACTCCAGGATACTGTGAGTCTCGGAAGCGCGGGATCCCACAGCACCAAGGACGAGCCCGCGCCGCGCAGCTCAGCTCCGCCCCCACAAAGCCCCTCCTACGGGGATCGATGGGAGAGGCGGGGACGCAGCGGGAGGGGCGTGGCCTGCGCCTGTAGCCCACGCTGGAGGCGGGCCTTACGCAGAAAAAGGGTCCGAGGAACTGCTGCCAGGACGGAGTAGAGGATCGCAGTAATTATCCCTCTCTGCTAATGAGGATTAGTCTGTGGTTCACTCCAGGCCCGCCCAGTAGAAATCTAATTCCAGCCGCATCCGGCTCAGAAGTCGGTCTCTGCCTTCTCGCCTCAGCCGCTCTGGACTGCAGTCCCCAGAAGGAGGCGCGGCGCGGCGCGGCGCGGCGTGACCTGCGCAGTGGCATCCGTTGTAAGTGCTATGGCAACAGGGCCAAGATGGCTCGGAGTTAGGCTGGAGAGGGGAGGTGTCCCTTCCGCCGCCGTCGTCAGGTTTCTGTGACCTCCCATTCGCCACCTCCGCCATCCTTTCCTTCTATGTGTGAGCGGAAGGACTTGCAGTTGTTCTCGCCTGCCTACTGTCTTTCAAGGGATGGATGCCGTTTCCTCTGCTGATCCCTGGGGGTGACGGCGGGGGTGGGGGCCGTAGGGGAGCTTGTTGGGGGAATTGCTCCAACTCTGTGGAGCGGATGGTGCTGCCTGGTGGGGCTCTCTCTTTGCCTGGGACGTGGAACAACTTTCGCCAGAGGACAAGAGGAAATAGTTGTAGGGGCGGAAAAATTCTTTCTAGCCTTCTAGGTTATTTGGCTGGTCTACAAATTAAATTGATGTTAGACAGAGGCACATGAGAAAAACGATTTGTAGACGGAAAGGTGAAATAACAAGCTCTAAAACTTAAAGAAATCATGGTTAGATTTATTATCTGCCAGGTTTGAGGACTTAAACCTGGGAACGCAGACTCAGTATAGACCGAGAACGTGTCCTCAAGGAAGTTAGCTGGGAGTGTAACCTGAGGAAGACTGAGTTTTAAAACCCAGAATATAGCCGGGCGCGGTGGCTCAAGCCTGTGATCCCAGCACTTCGGGAGGCCGAGGCAGGTGGATCACGAGGTCAAAAGATCGAGACCAGCCTGGTCAACATGGTGAAAACCCGTCTCTACTAAAAATACAAAACATTAGCTGGGCATGGTGGCGCGTTCCTGTAATCCCAGCTACTCAGGAGGTTGAGGCAGGAGAATTGCTTGAACCCAGGAGGCGGAGGTTGCGGTGAGCCGAGATCTGGCCATTGCACTCCAGCCTGGGTAAGGAGTGAAACTCCGTCTCAAAAAAAAAACCACACAAAAAAACCGCAGAATATTTGATTATCAATAACTCTATTATTTTGCCGTTTTGTCCCCAAAGTAATTTTTTATGAATCCAGTTTTGCACCAAATAGCACCATGACTTAAATGTCTGATAGTGAGGCCTAAGGTGGTCACAGTCTCATTTATATTTCTTTCTCAAGAAAAACATCTTTTTTTCCATATATTACATATTATTTTGAATGGGTAGAGACTAAAGCCATGTTTCTATAATTTCAGGACTTTAAACATTTTGTAGACAATAACATTCGTCTTGAATCTGTGTACAGTCTAAAACAGAAATGGAGTTCCAAATGTTGTTTTTGTAATATGGCCCCTCAACTGCACATGGGAAGAATGTGGGTACTCTTAAATATGATTTATATTTTAACTAGTTATATTGTAGGTCTGATTATCATGTATATGGGATGTTAAAGCTGTGGGAGTATACTCAATTAGACTACAACCCCTGGTAGTAAATTTCCAGGAGGAAACGGGGTCCATTTGTTTTTGATAAGTGTGAACTTTGTGTTTCTGAATCTAAGAGGGTTGGCTATGTTTGGAGACAGTCTCAGCTTCTATGTGAATTAGCATATTAATTAATCTTGTTGAAAGAGATGGAAGATCTTGATATGGTTTGGCTCTGTCTCCACCCAGATCTCATCCTGAATTGTACTCCTGTAATTCCCATGTGTTGTGGGAGGGACCTGGTGGGAGATAACTGAATCATTGGGGTAGTTTCTCCCATACTGTTCTTGTGGTATCGAGTAAGTCTCACAAGATCTGATGGTTTTATCAGGGGTTTCTGCCTTTGCATCTTCCTCATTCTTTCTTTGCCTGCTGCCATCCATGTAAGATGGGACTTGCTCCTCCTTGCCTTCTGCCATGATTGTGAGGCTTCCCCTCTTTCTTTTGTAAATTGCCCAGCCTAGGGTGTATCTTTATCAGCAACATGAAAACAGACTAATATAGATCTCTAGAAAGAGAGCTACAAAATATTGATGAAAGAAATCAGGCCAGGTGAGGTGGCCTGTGCCTGTAATCTCAGTACTTTGCAAGGCTAAGGTGGGGGGATTGCTTGAGGTCACAAGTTTGAGACCACTTTGGACAACATAGCAAGACCCTATCTCTACAAACTCTGCAAAACCAAAGAAATTAGCTGGGCATGGTGCCACATGCCTGTAGTCCCAGCTACTCAGGAGGCTGAGGTGGAAGGATTGCTGGATCCTAGCCTAGCCATTGGAGGCTGCAGTGAGCTATGATTATACACTCCTGCCTTGGTGAGAAAGTGAGACTCTGTCTCAAGAAAAAAGAAAAAGAAAGGAAAGGAAGGAAAGAAAAAAGAAAGAAATAATAGATGATACAAACAAATGGAAAAACATCCCATGCTCCAGGATTGGAAGAATTAATGTCATCAAAATGACCATACTGGCCAAAGCAGTTCAAATTCAACAATACAGATTCAGCAATATAAATTCAGCAAATGCAGATTCAACATAATACCTGGCAAACTACCAACATCATTCTTCATGGAATTAGAAAAAACAATCCTAAAATTCACATGAAACCATAGTAGGGCCAAAATAGCCAGCACAATCCTAAACAAAAGGAGTAAAGCTAAAGGTAGCACAGTTTGACTTTAAATTATACAAAACCATAGTAAACAACACAGCATGGTACTGGTATAAAAACAGATATGACATACAGATCAATGGAACAAAATAGAGAAACTAGAAATAATGCCCCATATCTATAACAAACTGCTATTTGACAAAATGTACACTGGCAAAAGGGTATCCTATTCAATAAATGGTGCTAAGAGAATTTTAGAGCCATATGCAAAAGAATGAATCTGGACTCTTGTCTCTCATCATATGCAAAAATTAACCAAGATAGATTTAAGACTTAAATGTAAGACCTGAAACTATAAAAATCCTAGAAGAAACCCTGGGAAAAATTCTTCTGGACATTTGCCTAGGCAAGTAATTTATGACTAGGTCCTCAAAAGGAAACATCAAAAATGGAAAACAAAAGTTGACAAACGGGACTTCATTAAGCTAAAAAGCGTCTACACGACAAAACAAATAATCAACAAACTAAGCATTCAACCTATAGAATGGGAGAAAATATTTGCAAAGAATGCATGTGACAAAGGGTGACTATTCAGAATCTACAAGAAACTCAAACTGGTCAACAAGAAAAAAATACCATTGAAAAGTGACCATACTGCCCTTCTCATGAAGAACATGAACAAACATTTTTCAAGAGAAGACATACAAATGACCAACAAGCATATGAAAAAATGCTCCACATTACTGATCATCAGAGAAATGCAAATCAAAACCACAATGTGTTACCATTTCACACCAGTCAGAATGGCTTTTATTAAAAAGGCAAAACATAACATGCTGGTGAGGCTCTGGGGAAAAGAGAATGTCTAAACACTATTGGTGGGAATGTAAATTAGTTCAGCCACTGTGTAAAGCAGTTTGGACATTTCTCAGTGTAAAACAACTACAAGTCAACCCAGCAATCTCATTACTGGGTATATATTCAAAAGAAAATAAATTATTCTACCAAAAAGACACACACATTTGCATGTTCATCACTGCACTCTTCACAAGAGCAAAGATGTGGAATCAACGTAGGTGTCCATCAACAATGAATTGGTTAAGAAAAATGTGGTAGCCGGGTGCGGTGGCTCAAGCCTGTAATCCCAGCACTTTGGGAGGCTGAGGCAGGTGGATCACGAGGTCAAGAGATCGAGACCATCCCGGTCAACATGGTGAAACCCCGTCTCTACTGTAAATACAAAAAATTAGCTGGGCATGGTGGCACATGCCTGTAATCCCAGCTACTCAGGAGGCTGAGGCAGGAGAATTGCCTGAACCCAGGAGGCAGAGGTTGCGGTGAGCCGAGATCGCGCCATTGCACTCCAGCCTGGGTAGCAAGAGCGAAACTCCATCTCAAAAAAAAAAAAAAAAAAAAGAAAAATGTGGTACATAGACACCATGGAATACTACATAGCCATAAAAAAGGACAAAATCATGTCATTTGCAGCAACATTGATGCAGCTGGAGGCCATTATCCTAAGCAAATGAATGCAGGAATAGAAAACCAAGTGCTGCATGTTTTCTTATAAATGAGAGCTAAACATTGAGTACTCATGGATATAAAGACAATGATAGACAATGGGAATTATCAGGAGTGGAGTATGGGGGAAGGGTTGAATAACTATTGGGTAGTAAGCTCAGTGCCTGCATGACAGGACCAATCATACCTGACATCCTAATGGGATGTCTAGAAGTGGCTAAAATTCAGCATTATGCAATATACCCAGGTAACAAACCTGTGCATGTCCCCTCTGAATCTAAAAGAAAAGTCAAAACTATAAAAAATACATAAATAAAAAATAAAAAGAAGACATAGATGTTGGTGAGATGCAGAGAAAAGGGAATATATATATATATATATATATATATATATATATATATATATGTTGGTGGAGATGTAAATTAGTACAACCTTTATGGAAAACAGGTTTCTTGAAGAACTAAAAATAGAACTGCTGTTTGATTCAGCAATCTCCCTACTGGGTATCTACCCAAAGGAAAAGAAATCATTGTATTTAAAAAGCACGTGTACTAATATGTTTATTGCAGCATTATTCCCAATCATAAAGTCATGGAATCAACTTAAATGCTCATCAGTAGATGATTGGATTAAAAATATTATGTGTGTGTGTGTGTGTATGTATAATGGAATACTACTCAGCAATAAAATGTGTTTTGCAGCAACATAGATGGAACTGCAGACCATTTTCTTTAGTGAAATGACTCAAACAAAATTTAAAATTTTCTTACTTATAAGTGGGAGCCAAATAATGTGTGCATATAGACACACAGAGTGGAATAATAGACACTGGAGACTCCAAGTGCAAGGGTGGGGGGACAGGATGAATACCACCTATAGATACAATGTATACTGTTCTGGTAATGGGTGCACTAAAAGCCCAGTTTTTCCCACTACTCAAATATATTCATGTAACACAACT